AAATTCTGATTAAAAAGCAAAAAATTTAGATTTTAGATTTGTTGAATTGTTCTACGTTCTGTGAAAGTTTGATTTATGTGGTTTTGACAAAAAAAAATTTAACTTGAAAAACATTGCAAATATTAAACAAAAAACACAATGCACTAATTTTTCATTGCCAGTGTATGTACATCGTAATTTTTAGATATGTGGCCTTGTCGCCCTCGAGGCCCTCATTGGCAACCAGAGGACTGTACTTGAAACAAAACAGCCAAATTTTCCCGTAATCATAATTGCCACATCATATGCACCGTCACCATATTCATGCAGTCGGATTAAGAGGTCGTCAACCAAACATGATCTATGCATCGGAGAAAGGACAGTGCACAGCGACTCGTGACTATAATCTTTACTTGAGTGTTGTGTTAGGTTAGGTTAGGTTATTCTGGCTGGCTGACCGCCCCACATAGACCAATAGGTCCCCAGTGATGCCAGATGGAGATCGAGGTTCAGTTAAGTATGATCGAAGTATACATCATTTAGGATGTCAACGCTTTTTGAGAATTTCAGCAGCACTTGAGGCCCAAGTGTTGTCATGTCTTCAAGATTATTAAACTCTGGAGCTCCGAGATATTTCAATTGTGTTTTGTGTTGATAAGCAGGATAATGGCATAGGATGTGTTCTAGGGTCTCCCTTGTTCCCGTCCCCATGCATTTTCTGCAAACTTCACTGAGAGCAATCCCCATTTTGCTTGCATGCACTGCCAACATGTTATGTCCTGTTAGGACAGCTATCATAGTTCTGCAGTCTATTCGTGCCAGCGAGAGTATAAACCGGGTTTTTCGTCCCGTTTTCCAGTCTGCACATGACTTTGAGTGTTGCCCAAGGACAATCCAATTAATCCAACCAATAGCAGAAGGGTCTATGCTTCTTTGACCCGATGCCCCGGAGATAGAACCATAGGCAGTATTATCGAACCGCCCTCGATGTCCAATAAGGTACACAGAGCAATCTCCTTAGCGTCGAACGCATATGCATATTTCGGATAATAACAGTCGTGAATGTACTGCTCGTCTTGTGTACCGAATGTTATAATTAGAAATATGAATTTTTACGTGGCGAGTTTCTCGTTACGATTCGAGTCCAGTGGGGAGATTCTGTAACCAGTTAGCGACAATTTTCGGATCGGTATCGCTTTTGTTGACGTATGTTATGAATATTTTTACGTCAACAAGTGCGATAGCGATCCGAAAGTTGTCGCTAACTGGTTACTGATCTCCCCCCAAGGCTCCGTCCACGAATCGGAAACCGTACGAAAGAAAATTACGTGATACGTCAGTCGTCAGGGCTGAATTGGATGACGGGTACGTTCACGTATGTCATAATCCGAAAATTGTGTTTTTACGTGACGAGTATAACGATATCGTATATGACGCACCCATACATTGTAGGGCCGTATCAGTTAAATGATTATGATGTAGTGCTAGACATGGCAGATAAATTTTAAAACCTACATGGGAAAACGGCACAAAGATTATTTTCCTGGGAATAACGTTATCCAACGGGCCAAACACAAGAAGGTCTGCGGAGCACACGCGCAGTGTGGGAAAACGTATCTGGCCTAGTTGGAAATGCGGGGTTCTCGTCCTCTCCTCCGCTTGGAGCGACTTACTGCTCCGACATGTTCTCACCAGGAACTGCCTGATGGGAACCCACGCTATTAGAATGTATATGAGTCAAACGATCACTGTCGGAGCTGCGGTGACGTGGAGGAATTCGAAAGTGTAGAGCATTACCTGTGTCACTGTCACGCATTGGCAAGGGTTCGTCAGCACGATTCAATATCTACGGTTTTCTACGTATCATTTCGTCAGTATAAAATTCAAAATATAAGAGTTAGTTTAAGTTAGAGTAAGTTTTTAAGGTTATGAAACCCTTACATTCAGAAAATTTTTTTAACCAATAATAATTTGGTAAGTTCAAAGAATCAATACCAAAATATTACATACCGCGTTTTGGCTTTTTCTGCTTCAGAAATGGGTATGCGAATTGCGGTTTAAATCACATCAATGTCAATTAAAGGTTTTTCTCTTAATGTTGTGGTAACATTGATGAAAGAAAGATGTCTATGCATGTATATGAAAATGTCAAATTATATTAAGTAAAAAAAAAACAAAAAATCTATAGAAAATATCTGCTTATGTAAAAATGTATATGTCTGAGGAATATTTTGAGGTTAACATGTATATTTATGGTATTCTTTCAGAGTTCTTGGCATCCCTACATACTGTATCTAACGGTAACGGATTTATTGGCAACAAATATTTGAACTTAGCGAATAGCTATTTTATGGCTGTTCGCTGAATGGATGTTTTGAACCTGTAATAAAATAAATACATAATAATAACATTGAATACTCGGACATAGAAAAGATGAGTGTTATAATTCGTTTGCAAAATTTGCCGTGGTCGGCAAATGCATTGGATATACGGCAATTTTTCAAAGGTCTTTCAATACCGGATGGAGGCGTTCACATTGTCGGTGGTGAAATGGGCGATGCTTTTATCGCATTCAGGTAGATATTAAAAATTGTTAACTTTAGTATTGGTTTTAAGAAAATTTAGTAGGGTAAATCAATTGAGTCATTCTGATTTTGGGTAAGAAATGTGCAATAAAAAAAATTAAATGGATTACATAACTATGAAAGGGTTACATGTGTCGAAAAGGTAAGCTAAAACATCTCAATTGGTATCAAGAAATTTTGTTTTACTCTTGGAATTTCGTTATTCTTTTCGGAAGCATTTATCGCGTACTATTTTTGGAGCTAAAGATGTTAAAAGTCTTAAATCCAAAACATCTTATCGATTCCAAGTCGAAGAGGTTACTACGAGTACACGTTAATGAATATTCCTCTCTTATGAGTTGTACTACTTTGCATAGTGAAGAGGTTTTAACTATAAATCCAAGCTTCATTGCAAAAAATATATCAGAGTTATTGCATCTCAATGATTTGGATAATCGTGAAGACGGTATCGTAAGTATTTTGTATATACTAACGAAGACCTTAGGTAAAATTTTGCACAGCTTGGTTGTTTTGTGTAGTATTTAGCTGTAGTTTTATTCGATGTATTCTGTAAACCTTTCACAGTACAACAGCGTTACACATAATACGCCAATACTTATAAGTATTTTAACCGCAGGCTGCACCTACTAACTGAATACATCCTGCTGTTTGTCCAGCATTTAGTAACTTCAACAAGAAAACAATCGGAATTTTTTCCATGAAATAAAGGGTTTTCCAATAAGAGCGGGTGGAAGTTGAAATGGAATAAAATAACCTGTGTGTTAGGTATCAACGAGAGTCTTTTTTTATTTGAAAGGCTCACGAATGCCATTATGTATTAAATACATATAACAATAATAATCGTATGTTGGCGCTTGCACTTTTTCTAAGGGTTGGGCCGAGTTTCTCCTCCAATTTTGTGGTGTGTCTCTTGATGTTGTCACACAAATGGAGTGACCTACAGTTTTAGGTCACCTCCGAACGGCAAATGGGTTTAATGCGAAGCTTTTTTCATGGCAGAAATGCATTCGGAGGTTTGCCATTGCCTGCTGAGGAGCGACCGCTGCTAGAAATAACTTTTTCTAATTATCCTACGGAGTGATAGTACGTACCTCTAACCACTCAGCCAACATAACACCGCCAAATATAACACCGTTTTAATGTCAGCCATGGCTTTTTATAATGCCACGGCTCCGAGCGGTCCAATTTTCATTCACTCTTCCGCATAGATCCGGCTGAGTTTGAGCGAAGGCCTGGATTATGTTGGCTTAAAGAGCATCGATCGATTACGGTTTATTGGCGTAGATCTGCAACTTTAGGAAACACCATAAGAAAAAGTCTAGCGGAATCAAATTACACAATATTGGTGACCAATTCACGTCACCTCTGCCAGTGATAACCATACCTTTAAATTGTTAATGCAGAAGGCGCATAGTGGCGTACGCCACATCTCATATCTCATATCGTTCAATTTGGTGTCAAAGAAATCGGTTGTCATTTTTCTGTAGCGCTCACCGTTGACTTTGATGGCCTCGCACAAACGTCGTTATCAAATAAGAACGGTCCAATGACACCGGCGGTCCAAAATACGCACCACACCGTAACTTTTTGTGGATGCTTTCCCATCTGGTGAACTTCGCGTAGATTAGCGACGTCCATATACGGCAATTTTGCTTATTAGCATAGCCAGTCATTCAAAATTATGTCTGCCATAAAATGGGCGGAACATTTAACTAACGAAAACGTATTTTTATAATAAAATTTTATCAAGTTAACGTTCTGCTCAATCAATCAATGTAGCTTGCCAAGGTGATTTGGCATCAGTGACTGAAAAATTGATTAAAGGTTAGACAAACGCCACGAAGACAACAACGCCGCCAGATAGCGCCAAAATCTACCCGCCCAATTGAAAACCCCTTTAGTTTCGATATTAAGTAGGCATTCATTTTAAAAACTAGGTTTTATTGGCTTCAACGCGATTTAACTGTAAAAACAATCAGTTACCAGCTATAAACGTGAAAGTATGTTTTAGAAATGAGTTCCATATACATAGGTGAAACGTTTTAAGGCGATCTTGTTTGGTTCCAATCCAGAAGGACCAAAGATGTCTAAAAATGCTTCAAATTTCTACTGTATTGGAACCACCAATTTTCGGTGCACAAAATTGTTACCAAATCGCGGTACTGCAGAGCTGCTTTAAGGCAGGAGGATGTGGTAATGAATGTTTGGTTCAAAGCTAGTCCAGTCAAGGCCTTGAAGGCTGCTCAACAGAAATTGTCTCGAATGTGTTTGTCTCTGAACACTATCAGAAACTGTCTAAGTGAGTTCTAGATCAAATTACAAATAGCAATGGTTAAACCCTTACTAACCACAAATCAAATAAAAATAAATTTAAAAAGTGGGTGGCTTAACATATACATAGATGATGATTGGAGCCAAGTGGTTTTAACAGACGAGTCCCTCTTTTGGATGATAAATACCAATAAACGTGACAGTTCCAATAAAAACACAGCGATCTGTTAAACATCCAAGAGAGGTTCATGTTTGGGGTGCTTCACGAATAATTTGGATGCCAACTTCATGAATATGATATAGCACCGTTGACTTCTACCATCAACGGTGGCCAGGACACCGAGCTTGTGCTCTTAAAGAGAGCAAGGACTCACACCCTAGAAGTCGTTTGTGTAGCAATTGAAAAAAGGAAACTGAATAAATGGGCAGCAATGGAGCTGAAACTACTTAAGTGGGGAAAATATACGATCCATAAATCAAAACTGCAAGTAAGGTTAACCTTCTTTACTGCGATCAGTGCCGCTTTCAATGCGGGTTCCCGCTATCAACTGGTAAACTCGGGTTGGAGAAAAACTTTATCGAACATGCGAATGGAAGATGGTCCGCAGAGCCACCACAAATTAAATAGGAGAAGATTATCCGACTGGAGTGCCCACAGCTTGATGCGGACCCACGGCAATCGCATAGGTATACGATCTACTAAATCAGTGCCCACATTGGCCAGGCCCGTCAACATACGTTCCTTCACAACATTCTTGAGCAACTGGACGAATTGCGCATGGCTATAATTTTTGACCCTGAGAAAAGAGTATATGGAACCTTTATTACGTTAGACAAGGGACCCATGACGGCCTAAGTGTGCCTACTACCAATATTGGCAGCCATGAGAATCTAACCTAACCTAGGATATGCTGAAAACTTAGCTATTACATAGGTTTCGTTGCAAAGGAATTAGAGAAAAGGATGCTAACTGGTCGTGATAATAATATATGTACATATCTGTGTTCGTATGGAATAGTAGTTTATGTCGAAGTGCTGGCTTTAGTATAATGCGGCATTCGCAGCATACGATTGCGAATGACTCACTGGCGCCGAGCCGTTGAAGAACTTTTGGCAAATAAACGTGCAAGAAATAGTTCCAATACTAGCAAGTCAATATTCTATTAAGTCGTTTAAAGAATAAAGGGAATGCCGCATTATACTAAAGCCAGCTTCCCGACATAAGCTACTATTACATAAGAACACAGATATGTACATACTATACATATGGACATAGTTGCGCAATAGGCCGGATCACCTTACAAGAAAACAAATAATTTTGCAAGGCAATTTAGGAAAAAAATCTGCCGAACTTAGGGGTTGCTTTTTTTAAATTTGTCGGTGGCACCCATTACTGGAACAATCGAAATGTTTCCTTAGCAAAAGTTCAATGATTTTTGCGGAGATTTTATTTTCTCATATTAGGGTGGTACGCTAGGGTGATAAGAACTGAGATCTCGTGGGTAAGTACTAGAACTGGGTACTTCATTTACGTACTGCCGTGGAAAAAAATTGTCTCCTCGAGATAAGAACATCGATATACTAGACTTTGAATGGCGAAGATACGACGAAAAATTTAAAAACGCGACCCCTAAGTTCAGCCAAAAATAAATATTTTTAGAAAATTGACTTACAAAATTACAAAAATATAGATTCGAAGGTGTACGGCGATCTTTTTTTTTTGGTACGGTCTATTAAGCAATATTTTTAGATATATTTATTTTTTCAGTGGCGTAAGCCGACTACTTTTTTGTTGAAAGTACCGTACATTATATTATGAGTGTTCTGCATAAGATTAGCAGTTGTCATTCTCTATACGAATCTAAACTGGAAGGCCACCTATTTTCATCGATTTGAGAGATACCGCAAATAGTCACATAGGCAAGAACTATCAGCCTCATGTCGAGTGCAACTCGTTTTACAAGAGTCTAGTCGTATTGAAAATTACATGGGATTGCCTAAAATTTCGACACGACTAGTGTACTAAGACGGAAAAACTTGGCAGCGATGGATAGTTTTCGACGAATTTCGTCGTCTTCTTATTTCTGCACGACAGTAGACAATGCCAATGTTGTCGAGTCATCCTATTTAGTTTAATTTACGTCTTACGCAATGAGGGTGTATCACTCAGCCCTAACATTGAATGCCATTCGAGACCACTGGTCTTATCAGACGCCAACTTTTATGCTAGAAGGATAAGTCAATGGAATCATGAGATACTAAGGCACCCGTACCTGTAGCCTTTATTCTCCGCTCTTCAAGCGAGAAAAGTGGACTGGAAGGTAGCAGCTTTCGAGACGAGAACCTGCATGCATACCCAACGGCCGCTCATCCGAGCGCTCATTCGGTCTACGGACGGATCAAAAGACCGATGACCCAACACAGCATTAGACTGGCGTGATCGCTCTAGGCTTCGGACAAATTTTAAAACTGATCAGCGACATATTAAGTTCTTCAGCTGTCTTGAAGTTAATTTAGTGATATTACTTGAGTATAAATTATTAATTCAAGCCATTTAGCAGCTTCGATTAAAAAAAAAAAAAGTGAAGTAAGGTTGGAATGTTTATTATATTCAAGGCTTTTAGAGAACGAAAGACGGTATTAAGGGCTATATAGACATAAAAGGCCTGCAAATGATAAACTATAAAACATAGCGGCATGTGTCACATCATGCAAGTGCC